GTCATTCGTGTGAGGAAAATGCCGAATGCCGTTTATTTGAAGTTAAGCTGCATCTTTTATAGTCTGCTTGGACCCTCCCAGGATCCTCCCAATGGTTAAGCCACACCTAAGCTCCCCCAAGGACATGCAACAAGGGGAAGCAGGAAGGAAGGAGATTGCAGTCAAGCCACAGGCTAAATGTATCAGGCCATGATTGCCTTTCCTGTTACACCCTTGAGAAACAAGCTGTGCTGTGGAGTTAATCCTTGGGAGACTGGGGCCTACAAGGGAGCATGGGATACTCAGTCACCTCAATCCAGCAGCTGTCAGAGGAGCTCGAATCAGCCCTAGATAACACCGCTCTCTCCCAGCCTCGCTCCAGCGCCGGCTCACCTTGGCTCAGGCAACTCCAGAAGGGCCCTGGACCCTTACGGCAGGAGAGGGGGGCACCTGCTTGTTCCTCCACGAGGAACGTTGTTCTTACGTGAGCGAATCAGGGCTGGTTGAGCAGAAAGTTAAACACCCGTTAGACATCAACGATCGCCTTGTCTGGAGCTAACAGCAGTCCCTGGATTCCTGGGCTCGGTCTCTGATGTCCACGCCTGCCCCTCTCCCCCACTCCTTCCCTTTTCTCCTCGCCTCACCACCACCTCCACCCCGCCCCTGCCCCGCTGGAATAAACCCCCCTAAGATACCTCGTTGCGTCTGGTGTTTTCAGCTCACGGTAAAGAACCAGGTTGCAGGAATTAGCTGCGTGTAGTAATATCGTAATATCATATGAACTAGAACTTAAACTGTTTTAAATAACTAACAGAAGCGGCCCCTGACGCCCTGCTGTGAGCTTGCTGCCCCTGAAGAGCTGGCGCCTGCTGCTGCCACGCTCTGCCCTGCCCTGGCTCCTCTTGCTCTCACTCTGAAGTGCATGGCACAGCCGGTGAGCTCCCAGTGGGCTGCTTCACCGCCCGAGCAGCCAGGAGCCACAAACTCAGGCCAGTCTTCCACATGGGTAGGGACCCTAGGTCTGCCACTGGCGCCCTGCTGCAGCCCAGGGTGAATGGGAAGTGCCTGGGGTTTGGACACAGCCCCGGGGCCCCTGCCAGTGCCCACGCTGGCTGTGGGGCTCAGGAGGCAGCTGCCCCACTCCGGCAGCTGTCTCACTCCGATGTCTCCTGGGGAGGCTTTGTTACTGTGTAAATATTCTGTGGTCTTTTGCTTTCTGCTTTTTCACAGTTTAACACTGCAAAATGTTAGGGGTCAACTGGAGGTGAGGAGCTCCCAATAGGTTGCTTGGTGGCTGGGTTTGGTGGGAGGGGTTGGGGCTTGCTGGAGCGGGGTCCCCTCCCCCTGGGACCCCAAGAGCCTCCACGACCAGGAAGGAGGCCAGCAAGGGGCAGAGGGGAAGGGGCGGGGCTGTGGTTGGCTGCAGGAAGAACCACAGGAGGGGCTGGAGGGAAGCTGGGAGGGCCTGGTGGGCGGGAGCAGATCCCACTGAGGCAGAGGTGCCAGGCTGAGGCAGGAAGCAGGAAGCAGGGCACAGGGCGAGAGCGCCAAGGGTTGGGGAAACACTGCCCGTCCCAGCAGCACCGGTGCCCCACCCGGGCCACGGCAGGCAGGTGGCCACGTGTGTACACAGGGAGAGCCTTGGCTCCCTGGGCTGTCCCACCCACCCCTGCACCCTTGGCTTTGGCTAAGCCACGAGCTGGGGGTGGGAGGGAGTGGAGCAGTGGACCGTCCACTCAGTCCACTCCGCAGCATGGGCAGGTTCCCCGGTATGGAGCCACGCCTGCTGGAGCCTTAAGTCCTCGTTCTTGGTTAGCTGGGGCCCCCTGCAGTGCCGGCATAACCTTTAGGGTCTGGGAGGTGGCTAGGACTGCAGGGACATGGCCCTGGGGGGATGTACTTTCCTGGGGAACCCTGGCCTCGGACAGCACACAGTCCCCCACTCCATGAACATGGGATGTCATGCCGTTCCTTTAGGCCTTCCTGAAGTTCCTTCCCAGCGGCTGTTTGCCCTTTCGACCTGAGCACTAACTCATCTGGCCCTTGAATGAACCATGTCTATTAATGTGGCACAACTTTCCCTTACTGCTCTGTCTGGCCGGCAGGCACAGCCAGCCACCCGTCTGCTGCCCCAGCACTGCTTGCGAGTGCTGGCTTCAGTCGCTCCATCTGCAGTCCAGCTCCCTACTGCAGGGTCAGTGGTGGACAACGGCCCAAGAGCTTGGGACCCCGCACCCACACGGGACCCCCAGGCGGAGTCCCTGGTTCCTGGTGTCAGCCTGACCCAACCCCAGCCTTTGCAGCCACTGAGAAGTGAACCAGTGGAGATCCCTAACTCTGCCTTTCAAATAAATACCTTTTAAAAGATTTATTTTTATTGGAAACTCAGATTTACAGAGGGGGAGACAGAGAAATATCTTCCATCTGCTGGTTCACTCCCAAGTGGCTGCAATGACAGAGCTGAGCTGATGCGAAGCCAAGAGTCAGGAGCTTCTTCCGGGTCTCCCACGCGGGTGCAGGGTCCCAAGGCTTTGGGCCATCCTCGACTACTTTCCCAGGCCACAAGCAGGGAGCTGGATGGGAAGCAGCGTCCATATATATGGGATCCTGGTGCATGCAAAGCAGGGACTTTAGCCACTGTGCTACTACTGTACCGGGCCCAATAAAATTAATTTTTAAAGATTTAAGGGACTGGCATGATGGCTCAATGGCTAAATCCTTGCCTTGCAACCACCAAGATCCCACATGGGCACAGGTCCATTAACCGGCTGCTCTGCTTCCCAACCCGCTCCCTGCTTATGGCCTGGAAAAGCAGTCCAGGACGGCCCAGAGCCTGGGGACCATGCACCTGCGTGGAAGAAGTTTCTAGCTCCTTATCAGATGGGCGGATCTCTCTGTAAATATACCTTTCCGATCAACAATAAATAAAGAGTATGAGCAGGTTCCAGGAGTGGCTCGTAGGGCCATGTGCACACTGGGCACTGCCTGCTCAAATAGTTGCGTCTCACCACTCTGCCCCTGAGGGCACAGCATAGCAATCTTAAGTCCTGTCTAAACAGCACCTCGAGGCCAGTTTCCTGGGACTGACTGACTGGCCAGCACTTTGCAGCAAGAAGCTTCAGCAAAGGTTTTTAGAGCTACAGCTCAGAGAGGGCTCCAGTCCCGGCCGCTAGTTAAGGTGGCGACCGGGCAGTGAAGGGATTAAAAATGGTGCGGGAAGATTCCCCCCAAGGGCTCCTCAGGGCCAAGGGCTCCTCAGGGCCCAGCACTCCTGGCAAGTCCTGAGCATGGAGGAGAGCCATCACTTGCTCAGTCTGTCCGTCTGGCCAGCAAGAAGGCCGAACTGAGCCCGAGCGGCTGTGGAGTTCCACCTGAGCCACGTTCCAGAACCATCGAGGTCTTCTGGGTCCTTGTCTCACGGGCAAGGCCTTCCATGTGGAGCGATTGCAGAGGGGCCCTCCCACTGCGGCACCCCTCTTCTGGGAGGGCCTAAGGAAAGTGGTGCTGGCTGAGCCCATCCCAAGGCCACGGCTGTAAGCCCACCTAGGACAGGAAAAGCCACCGCAGGGCCTGACAAGAAACTCTTCCCATTCTCCTGACAGACTCCCCTTTGGCGGTCCCAACAGAGGGGACCCTACTTGCCCATCAACAGTCCCAATCTGGTAGCTTTTCCTGCTGCAAGCCTTCAGGGCCGGAGCTGAGGTGGTGCTGGGTGTGGCTGCCCCTGCCCAGGCCCTCCCCGACACACTTCCACCTGTCCACTGGGCCCTCCCCAGCCCTTCCCAGCCCGAGCCAGACCCAGGAGACGGACAGAGTGCAGTACTGCTGGCCACTGAAGGGATCAACAAACCCTGGGGGTGGCATGGCAGGGTGTCATAACAGGCATCACCACATGGGCGCCGGTTCATGTCCTGGCTACTCCACTTCCCATCCAGCTCCCTGCTTATGGACTGGGAAAGCAGCAGAGGATAGCCCAAAGCCTTTGGGATCCTGTACCTGTATGGGAGACCCAGTATAAGCTTATGCTCCTGGCTCCTGATCAGCTCAGCTCGGCTCCAGCTGTTGCAGTCACTTGGGGAGTGAACCAGCAGATAGAAGATCCTTTTCTGTATAGCTGACTTTCAAAAAAAAAAAAAAAAAAAAACCAACCGCAGGAGTGGGAATGCATTCGAAGAGCAAGGCAGTCAGATGGAGTCCAGGGCGACGCTGCCAGGTCTCTCAATGCAGGGCTGGGCAGGGGGTTTCGCTGAAGGAGGACCTGGTCTCCAAGGACGGTGGCCAGCACACAGAAGGCAAGCTTCCTGCTCAGGTTCAAGCAGTTAAAAGTTCAAGCTCCCATCCCAGATCCTGGCTCTGGCTTGGCACAGGAAGACCTCTCAAAAAAAATAACAGGGCCTGGCGCGGTGGCCTAACAGCTACAGTCCTCACCTTGAATGTGCCAGGATTCTATATGGTTGCTGGTTCTAATCCCGGCAGCCTGCTTCCCATCCAGCTCCCTGCTTGTGGCCTGGGAAAGCGGCAGAGGTTGGCCCAAAGCCTTAGGACCCTGCACCGCATGGGAGACTGGGAAGAAACTCCTGGCTTCAGATCAGCACAGATCCGGCCATTGCGGCTGCTTGGGGAGTGAATCATCAGACAGAAGATCTTCCTTCCCGTCTCTGCTCCTCTCTATGTATCTGCCTTCCCAACAAAATGAATCTTTAAAAAAAAACCAAAAAATTAAACGTGACAGAAAATAAACAAGTGGCAAGTCCTGACCACACACTGCTCCCTGCTCACCTCACAGCGGAATGGAGCTGGCTGTGCCCTGGCACTGCAGCAGCCTGTCTCTGCGACAGGAGCCACCCACACAGCGCCAGTGTAAAGGCCGGGTATCTCCCACCCATGCTAGGCTCCTGATGTGGGCTCACTGGCCAAGCACGGGGTACCCACAGGGCACCATGCCTCCTGCCACAGAATTCACGGCTGGAAAGCTTGGAAAGATTTCACACAAAGACTTTGTACAGAAGTTACACTGACAATACTGTATCACTACAAAGTTTATTCAGAAACCCATCTTTGTTTTTTTTTGTTGTTTTTTAAAAAAAATCCCCACTATGAACTGGTTTGGTTGACCCACCACCACAGCTCCTCCCAGCCGGGCTTAGAAGCGGCCCGAGCGCTCCCGGTCCCGGGATCGCCTCCGGTCACGCTCCCGGCCCCCACCGCCCCCGCCGCCGCCTCCACCTCCGCGACCACGGTCTCGGGAACGAGAGCGGCGCTCCCGGGATCGGGACCGGGAGCGATGCCTGCGCGAAGAGAAGAGAAGGAGGGTCATTCCACACCGCCGCCCTGCAGTCGGACACCCCCAGCCGGAACTGTGGGAGCCCACCCACCCTGCCACACCAGCCAAGGACTGCCCCATGGGCTTCCAGGAGCGGGCACACCCCCACTGCCCGACACAGACCCCCGCGAGTGGCCAGAGCCAGGTGGGGGACAGGCCACTGCACTCACTTCTTGCGCCGACGCCCATACAGCTCTCGCCGCAGCTCCCTTGAGATGGGCTTCAGGTGCATGAAGTTGCAGAAGCCACCTCGCGTGCACTCCCTGTGGGTCGGGACAGACAGTCACCTGGCTGCAGTCTCCACTGGCCGCTCGGCCGGTCAGGGGACGCCCTGCCCGCACACTCACCCCATCTCGTACTGCCGGCAGCAGGCTTCCCGGAAGTCGGTCACGGGGGACAGCTCCGCATGGATGGGCTGCCCATTGAACCAACGGTTATTCAAGTCGATCACAGCCTTTTCAGCATCTTCCTCCCGGCGAAACTGCCAAGACACAGACACAGCTGCCAGCCCTGCCAGTCACCAGACCGAGTGCCCACCACATATGTGCTCCCTGGGGAAGAACTACCACGCCACGGCCCAAAAGCCTTTAAAACCAGCCAACTGAATCACAGCCAGAGGGATTCTTCGATAAACATCAGGCCCAATGCTGCCCTTCCTTCCTAACACGACTGGATGGTCACTGAATGGCATGAGAAACTGACACCGGAAGAACCCGACCCTGTGCCCGCGGGGGCAGGCCACGGCTCCTACCTTCACGTACACGTTGCCCACGAGGTGGTCGCCCAGGTTGTCGCACACGTTCATCTCCTCCACCTCTCCGTACTTCTCCTCCATCTCGGTGAAGACCTCCTGCAAGATGCGGGGGTGTGAGCCCGCACCTGGCGCGGCACCCCTCGCTCCCGGCCCGCCCCCACCTGGCACGGTGCCCCGCGCGCCCGGCCCGCCCCCTCCTGGCGCCGCTCACCTCAAAGAACTCATCATAGTGCTCCTGCATCTCCACGTCGCTCACGGCACCTGCGGGAGAGAGCTGGCTGGTGAGGGCCGGGCGGCCGGGCACGTCTCGTGCGCTAAACTCAGAAACTAGAGGGACACACACAGGCCCTCTGAGCAGCAGGCCGGCGCTGGAGGAGGCCGCCAGCGTCCCCTAGGCAGGCCCCGTCCTGGCTAGTCGTCCACACGTGGAAACCACAACCCCTCTCAGCAGCAGCCAAAGGGCCACATGTTCACAAGGTGTGAGAACCAAGTCGACTCTCAGATCAGGAAACCACACCACAGCTCCTTCCCTTCCGGCTGAGGACACAGGCCTGGCTTCCCTTCTCACTGCGGCAGAAGCCCACCAGGTGTGACCAGGGGGCGTTCGTGTCTCACACTGCCGGCCACCGCACGCTGGGACCCGCCTGCCGTGGTCTGATCCCAAGCGAGCATGAAGGTTACCAGGTGGCTCATTTCTACAAGCCCCAGGACAGGGAAGGTGGCGCTGCACTGCTCGGGGCCAGCCCCAGCCCCCTCACCACGCTACCTTGCTCCAGACCCAATTCTGTCTGACCTAACCGAAAACCTAGGCCCTTTTCAAAGCCTGTACGCCATGAAGCCCATGTTCAATCCCTCAGTCCAGGGGCCAGCCACAGCCTACTGGGGGTCAGGGCTGGCTGGCGTGGCCTCTGTCCTAATCGGCAGCCACAGTCCGTGGGCAAGCAGCGGACAAGCCACTGTTGCCACCACAGCTCCTGGCAGGGCCCGGGCTCTCTAACCTTGGCGCTGCCTCCCAACACCCCAAGCCCCCCACCTGTGAGGACACAGCCTAAACCTGACCTGCTCTGTGCCACATCCCCCAGGGGCGACTCTGCCCAGGCTCCTCAGCTGCCAGCCACGCGGCGTCCTGACCGACCGGCCGCAGCAGCCCCACTACCAACAGTGCAGGCGCCCACAGGGGACACCGACCTCCCCACGGCAAGAGGGCTAGGAAACAAAAAAGGGCCAGCAACTTTGCCGAGGTGCTCTGGTGGCCACACTGCCATCGGCCAGGTGGAGCCGAAAGCTGACCCAGGCCCTCAGCCCGTGGAGACGCCCCCTCGTCCACACGAGCAGCTTTAACTGCGAGTCTCACTTAACTTCCATTCCACATGTATGAAACATCGCTCTACATAGGAAAGGGTACGTTTAGAACCGGTGATTTAATGATTTCATCTTCTTAAAAGGCAGGATCAGTATTTCATTTAATCTGTGCAACCCGGACCCCAGCATCTGAGTACTTCGTAACAGCTAAGCTTTATTTTATAGCACACGCAGAACAAGGGTACTGTGAGTTTTCAAAAAGACACACGGGAACCAAGAGCACGCCAGGCATTCCCAGGCCCCTGGCCACACCACAGGACGACCCGCTGTCCCAGCAGCTGTTTCAGCCACTCGGAGCCAGGGCACTCGTCAGCAAACATCAGTGCGTCAACATCTCCCTCCACCTAGTTCTTCCGGAAAACAAAGCCGGGGTTACACGTGAGTCCTTGCAGCGAGAGGGCGCGACCACGAGGTCAGCCCCAGCTCAGAGAAACCTTGCGCAGCTCAGGAGCCGCGTGGCAGGAGAGCCCACCTGCCTGCGAGCGGGGGGAGGGGCAGCGAGCGGGTCGCCCCAAAGGCTGCACTCCACTTAGGTGTGTGGCCACCCAGAGCGGGGCTCATCTCTACGCCAGCCCAGTGACAGCCACTTTGGCCAGGATGCCCGGCCAGGCAGTGTTCCTGCTCCGTCTAGATTCCTCAAGGTCGACAGGCGGAGAACTGGCGAGCACACAGCTTAGCTTGGGAATTCTCGGCCCAGTGACTGCTCACAGTTCAAGGGACACTCCCCGAACTGGGCAAGGGCCCATGCAGGCCCCCCAGCACACGCTGCTACCTGGTGCGGTGCCCTTCCCGTCCAGGCCCTAGCTGGGGCGTGGCTGGGTCACGGCCGGGCTCCCATCACCACGTGCCTGCCCTCCAGCAACAAGGCTGGTGGGAAACAGGAAAGCCATTCCGAAACCACTTTTACTTTTTTTAAGTTCCTGAAAGTGAAAGAATGTCCAAATCCTGGGGTTCTCGGGGTGGGGGTTGGGGGGGGCAAGACTCCAGCTTACTCGCAGTCCGTCCCCCCCATGACGGTCTCAGTGAGCGGGCAGGTGGTCACTCCCCGTGGGACACACGGTCCTCGACACTAGCACGGCAGACCAGATGGAGTGGACACTGAGCTCAGACACGGAAGCCCAGGGGACCAGGGAAGGAACTTGGATGACTTACAGCGCAAACCGTCAGCAGACTGGGAAGAGTTTTGAGGGTTACGGTAAATGTTCAAGAGGGCAATGGTCTGAAATACAAAACGCAACAACTTTATATTATGGAAAATTAGATGGCAACACTTCACCGGCTGCTGTGCACTTCACCGTGCTCTGGCGGTGCTCGGCGGAGACGCACGCTGGAAAAAGAGCAGGTTAATCCGTCCGCCGCACGTGGCTGCCTGGACGCGCCCTAACTCTGCGGGGGCAGGAGATCTCATGACGTGCTCCTATTGCATTTCTGTGCCCTCCAGCTGACGGTGCGAGCAGCTGGCAAGGCCGCTCCCTGTGCCCAGGATGGCCTGCACCATGCAGCATGCCCGAGATACGGGGACCTGTAATGTCTGCCAACGTTCTCCAGCTGAGAAACACAATGCTCACACATCATGACAGCTCCACTTCCTGAAGAAAAGATGGGACCAGCGAAGCCAAGCCCACGCTCACGGGGCCACTTACCTTACCGGTTTCCTCAACATGCCTACAGTTTTGTTTTATTTTAATTTTACACCAAGAGCTTAGGAGAGGCCAGGGGTTCGGCCACGGTCAAGACCGATGCTCGGCTAACAACGTCAGAACCCGGTTTACGTGGCCGGACACTCTGGCCTGACCAACGGCGTGCCCCAGGAGGGACGGGCCTCCCGAGCGCGGCCGTGCGCCCCATTCCGGCAGCTGCCCTGTCTGCAACAGCTCTAGGCCAGCAGCTCGGAGGGGGCCGAGTGTCTCGGTTACGAGTGGGCTCTTTCCCACCATGGCGTTAAAGTTCCTCCGACTGTGGGACTTACAGTGTGAGCCGTCAGCCGTCTGTGCACTGTTTTGGGGGTTACGATAGATGTTTTGAATCAAGATGGTCTGCGGGGAAAAAAAAATAAAAAGGGGAATTCTACTGGCTGCTGCGCATACATCAGACAACTGCAAAGAGACAACTTGTTTGCAAATGGCTACAACGCCTGCTGCTCCTGCTGCCGCACGCCGGCCCCCGTCTCCGGGAGACACCGATGGAAGCCATCATATTATGAAAACAGAGCTTGAGCAGTGACTTGGTAAGTCAGCCAGCAACCAAGAGGGCAAATCCACGGTCGCACTGGGAAGGCCCAGCCGAGCCGGGGAACAGAGCACCAAGGCTTTCTTGTACGTGGAGGTAGCAGACAACAGGGACAACTCCCAGACCACATTCCCCACAGCCACTCTGCTCAGCTGCGGGCAGGCCTCCAGCCCGGAGCTGGCCCGGCACGTCTCATTGACACTTTCTTGGGGAGATCTCTGTTTGCATAATACAATAGCTTAATACATTCGCTCTTTTCCAATCCTTCTATTAAGGAAAAAAAAAAAATCTCCTTTTAGCCCTTGTGCTTTAAACTGGATCAGGCAGACTCGAAACCTTACACTGTACCGCTCTTCTGAAAACCAAGTTGTCTGAAAAAACAAACCATGGTTAAGTTAGTAGGCTAATACATGACACGCATCGTAACGTCCACACCACTGTGACGACTCAGATTGCAACCCCCACTGTCCTGCTGGACTCCCAAGCTGTCCCGGGGAGGGCTCCAGGAGCCAGCTCGGCCTGCGGCCACCCCTCAAGAACCAGGGCCAGGAAGCGGGCACCCCAGGGCAGGCCTGCGCCAGTTGGGCAGGTACCCTCCCTTCGGGCCTCGGAGCTGTCCCTGAGCGGGCACTGGCCAGCTTCCAGCCGCAGTCATCGGAGCACAGCCGCCGACGGGCCCACTGCAGGTCTCACCCAGATGAACTGGCAGGTGCTGCCTGCTGCTCTGCGGGGCGATCGCGGTGCCTGGGTTACAGACACCCAGCCAACAAAATGAGGGGCTGCAGGGAACCTATCCCAGGGCTCCCCGAAGCCTCATGCCGACCCTGCCAGTGCACCCCAGGACTCAGACACAAGTCCCTCTGTCTCTCAGCTCAGTACTCAGCCCCTGGGGCAGATGCCCTGCACTGGAGGTGCACCTGCCACTGTGCTTCGGCTGGAGACTGGGCCAATCAAAGCGCTTCTGAAAGGTTATCATAAACAGAGAGGCTAAACCAAGCCCTCGGTTTACTGAAATCTACAGAGAGACACGTTCAGGGTCATTAAATCAATATTTCTCTTGCTAAAAACCAGCACAGCCTGCGGAGTTTCCCGTGTGCTTACTCCCAGCTCACGCAGTCCAACAAGCCTTTAAAGGCAGGAGGTAAGATGGGGCAGAGGCTGCGTGGCAGCAGGCAGCTCCAGCAATGCCAGTGCGGATTCAAGTGTCAGCCACGGCCCAGGCCTGGACAGGCGGCCCCGCTTTCTCAGGCCTTCCTCGTGGGCACAACCCCTCGGCCTTCTTAGTGAGCTGAGACGGAGCTGTCGGAATCTGGGATCGGGCTGAAGCAAGCTGACAGCAGAGCTCGGCCGACCGACAGGCCTCTCGGCTACGAGCCAGCTCCTGCTCCAGGCTTCACTGCTCCCCATCCTCACGACACCCTCTGCAAGTGACGTACACGCCACAGTGGACCGTGTCACCAGGACAGGCCAACGGGAAACTTCGCTGAGCAGCAGCAAGGGACCCCAGACCTCCCCCAGGGGCAGCTAACCCCTCTCAGTTCTTAGGAATCACACCCTTAGTACACAAATGAAAGCAAAGCCAGACAAGAAACCCACTTGATGAGTAATGCACAGAAATGTTTAAGTCCCCTGGAAAAGTACATGAAGTTTTGATAATTTACATGAAAACACGAAAGAGAAAAAAAATAAACAAACCTGGCTAAAGGTCGGTTTATTGTGCAACCGAGAGCATCTGTCTCCATGGCGACATGCCCCAATTTTGAAATAAAAGGAGCAGTTGACCCTGAAAAGGAAAACGAGAGTTGATGCTGCTGGCCACAAGGTCCCCACGGGTGCTCCCCACGGGTGCTGCCCACGGGTGCTCCCCACGGGTGCTGCCCACGGGTGCTGCCCACGGGTGCTCCCCACGGGTGCTCCCCACGGGTGCTCCCCACGGGTGCTGCCCACGGGTGCTCCCGGTAGGAGGCTGCCTGATGCCCGAGCTAGCTAGGACTGCACCGCGTGGCCCTCTGCCTGGCCAGCGCTCAGCCTTCCTCCCTCGATGCGATGTGCACACAGCATCGCGACACGCCCCACCCCCATTGCTCGGACCACAAGGCGGGCGCAGGGCACAGCAGACAGGAACCAGGGTTCCGGAACCTTGCAACATCTGGCCAGCAGGAAGTTTCCACACAGGCCTGAGGATTAGTCTCTCTGGTTTCAGTCCTGGACCTTGGGCCCCGAGCAATCCAAACATGGGGGTAGAACCGCTGCTACCCCCATAGCCCTCCCCCCATGGCCGAGTCCCTCTGTCCCCCACTGTCAGCCTAAATCAGTGGTCAGCTTCAAGACAGCCATGCCGTGCCACCTGGGGGGGGGGGCGGCTAAACTGCCAGAGGGACGCGATTCCAGTGTCCCTCACAGGTCACGGACGCTCAGCCTGCAGAGCCATTTATCCAACAGCCCACCAGACTCGGGGCAGGGATGCTGAGGAGGCAGGACCAACTGGCAGCGCAGTAACCCCACTTCCTAGCAGGCATCACCAACCACATGGAGCCAAGTTCTGACACCAGGTGCCCGGCTTCTGATCCAGCCTTGTGGAAGCACCCTGGGAGCATGGCGGACAACGGCCTTGGCCTGGCTGTCCACCTGGGGAAGGAACTAGAAGGTGGAAGGCCACTCTCACATAAATAAAACCTGGAAGAAAAACCCGGGAAAGTGACGGCCCACAGGCCAGCTGGCCAGCCGCTGCACTCGCCCGCTGGGGTGCAGCCTGAGGCACTCCAACTCAACAAGGCTGTCTCTTTAAACAATTATTTCAAACTCCGAGGTCCACTTTCCACCCTTCCCTCCCCAGGTGGTCAACAGCCAGGTCAACGCCTAGCCACCCCCCCACCCCACTGGTTTCCCACGTGGTCACAGGGAGCAAGGACCCAGAGCAAGGAGTCTGGCTCCTGTCCCAACAGCCCCACCAACCACCCCGAAAGCCAGTCCAGCAGCGGCCACGCAGCTGACGGTCTGCTGGTCAGCTCCACAAACTACGCACGAGGTTTCCATCAGACCAAGTGATGTGCCCCTGAAGCGCAAGGGAAACCTCCTCAGACACCAGGCAGGGCCCGGCTCTGCCCAGCCCAGGAGCCAGCCACTCAAGGGTCACCCCCTGCCCTTCAGCTTTTAGGGGTGCTCTTGTTTCCCAAAAGCTAAAGCCCACATGGTGCTGGAAATGAATGCGCAACAACTGGATGGCACCTCAGCCCACAGGTCAGCTCCACAGGCAGCGACGGAAACATCCTCAAAGCCACAGCTTCGTGACCGGGGGTACACTCCTGGATACAGCACCCAGAGAAAGTGGGACGAGGCCAAGTCCCCTCCTGTGTCCTGAACACACACAGCAAGCAGCACGCCCTGGCCCAGGGCACCTCGCTCTACCCCCGGGGTGCCCCACACGGCCCAGGGCACCTCATTCTACCCCCGGGGTGCCCCACAGGCCCAGGGCACCTCGCCCTACCCCCGGGTGCCCCACAGGCCCAGGACAGCCACCTGCTCCTCCTCTCCCGCCCTCATCAGTATTTCCGGCCTGAATACGACTGGTGGTTTTTTTTCCCCTAGGCTTGAACCTTAAATGAGGAGCCCAGGGACCCCAGAGTGTGTTTGAGGTGCCTTCCCCCTCGGGCCCTCGGAATGGCCGCCCGCACCCCGCCGGTTGTCATTAAAGCTCCACCCGGAGCTAATCATTAATCCCGAGTCGGCCAGTGTTTTTTTTTTTCCTTAAGGCCAAGGTGAACCCGTTCGGTCTGCAGGTTCCCCAAAGGCCCCTACACCTCAGCTCCCCGCGGGTCTAAAATGACCACGGCCCAGGAGCGGGGCGCGCAATAAATAAGCCCAAATAAATCTACCTCGGCCTCGCTCTTCCCCTGGAATCGCACCCCGAAATATTGAAAAAAAAAAAAAGGAAAAAAGAAAAAAAGAAAAACCCTTTAGGGCACTTTCTTTCGCCATCCAAGGTGCCCCGCTGGCCGCCAGAGGGCCGGGCGGCGTCGACCCTGCTTCCCATCCCCGAGGACCCCTGAAAATGATCGGGGGAAGAGGCGCAGGCGGGCGCGGGGCCCCAAGCCGGCCCGACCCGGGAGGAAGGCAGCCCGCGTGTCGGCGCGGGGCCGGGCGGGAGCCCGCCGTTTGTGCTCGGCTCGCCTTCCCGCCAGCCCGGAGCCGTCCCCCGCCGCCCCCGGCTCCCGCCCGCCGCCCTGAGCCGCTGCCCGGCTGCCCTCACTCACTTGTCTTTCTCGGTCCCGAAGATGGACGCCAAGTACTCCGCCATTTCCCACCCGCCTCCGCCGCCGACCCTACCGACGCCCGCGGGAGACGTCACCGCACGCGACGACGCCCGCGCTGCTCGAGCTGCCCGTCCCCAGCGTGGTGACGCTACCCAATCGGACGACGCGCTGTAGGGCGCGCGGCGGGCGGGACGTGCAGCGTGCGCCAGGCTCCGCCCTGCGCACGCTGCGCGCGCACGCTACGCGCGCCCCCTGCCGGTGCCCGCTGGCGAGGTGGCTCCGCGCCACGCGGCTGCCTTCCGGGGTCCCGGGTTCTTGGTGTGACGTGCGCTTCCCGGCGGGGTCCCCACTTCCAGGGTCTTCACTTCCTGGCGGGGTCCCCTTTCCCGGCGCCCCGGTTGTAGGTCAGGTTCCCCTTCCCGGCGCCCGGCTTCCGGACCAGGTCCCCCTTCCTGGCCGCGCCCAGGCGAGGGCTGCGTGGCCCAGCTGCGCACATGTTTGCGGGATGGCCAGGCCTGCCTGCAGTGTGATGTCCACACTGGCCGTGGGGTCTCTGGGAGGGGCCAGGGTGGACACGGCCATCCCGTGGGAAGCGTGGGTTCCTCCACTTACTGTCCAGCTCCCTGCTGGTGCGCCAGGGCAGGCACTGGAGGACTGCCCCAGTACTTGGCACCCTGCACCTGTCCACTCAGGTGGAGACCTGGAGGTAGCTCTTGGTTCTGGCTTGGGCCTGGCGCAGCCCCTGGCTGCTGCAGCGGTTTGGGGAGTGAACCAGCTGACAGAAGATCTGTCTCTCCTCTCTCTAACTCTGCCTTTCCAATAAATAAAAAATAAAATAATAAAACAGGTAGACGCCTTCCAGGGCCCCACTTCCCTGTTTGTGCACCCACCCATCTATCCATCCACATGTCCACCTGCACATCTGGCTGGCCAACCATCTGTCCATCCAGTGGGCAGGGCGGACCCCGTGGTACGTGCACACATACAGACTGGGAACAGAACCCACCGCTTGGAGGTCTGCCGGACCGCCCACTGCCCCTGCTGAGCGTGCGGTGGGCATCTGACTCCTGATGCCTGCTTTTGTGATTCTGCGTCACTCGCATGGCTGGGCTGTGTGAACTCCAGGCCTGACAGTCTCCGTGACACCCGGCAGGAAGGAGGCCCCTGGTGTTAGATAAGACTCGCTCACTGCCCTACAGCCCTCCAGTTTGTACTGTGAAAGTTGCTTGCTCAAACCCACCAATAGAAGCCTGCCAGCTTGCTCTTCTTGAAAGTTAACAGTTAAAACTGACCAATCATGACTGTATAATTGTGTGGAATTGGCCTGAAATGGATAAAAACCTGTGCTGTCCAGCTTCAATCCCTTCTGTCTGCTCTGCCCTTTGTGCTGCTGATTCAGGTACTGCCAGTCCCGCTGGGCTGGGCGATGGCTGGGAGCCCCAGCTGGCCTGAGTAAACCGCCCTGATGCCCTTACGTGTTTGCATCGCAGAGTCCTAATGATTTCTGGGGATCTCAAAGCCTGGGCACAACACGTCCACTGACCAGTCCTGTCTTTCTTCGCTCACCTCTGTCCTCTCATCCCTGGGCATCCAGGACTCGGTGGGCGCTGCTGGGAACAGCCGCCACAGCCACCACCCAGTGGTGCCACACCAGGCACCGGGAGCATGCCAGCTCAGCCCTTAGGATCCCTGGCATGAGAGACCCCTTGAACCGAAGGGGTCTGGAAACCTGTGCTGCTGAGATTCAGTCTGCTGCCACGGCTGGCTGCTCCTGAGGTGCCAGTGATCTGGGGTGGGGGCTTTGCTGCAGGCCACTGCTTGTTTGTCTTGAACTATAGGATGACTATTTTTAGTTTGTTTTTTTAAATTTTATTTCTTCATATTATTATCATCATTTTATGATACAGTTCCATAGGCCCTGGGAGTTCCCTTAGCCCCACCCGAACTCCCTCCCCCATCACTGAGTTCCCCTATGTCATTACTATAGTATAGTTCTTCATACACAGTCGAATGTCCATTGCAGGCGTGGACAATGACAGAGAGTCCAGCATCCTATTGTCAGGATATAGTAAACAGTTTCATTGGGAGTCCATCTTTGTCTGGAAGTAGAGATGCATACTGCACTGTATCCTCACATCTGGATACGATAGTCTCCACTTCACAGCTACTGTACATCCCCTTAAAAGCCACAAAACAAAGTCAATAACAGAAAGGAAAATAGAAATTTACAACACCATGAGGTTAAATAACATGCTGAATCACTAATGTGTGGCCTGAAAATATTAAAAAAAACCAAGAACCTTTTTGAAGAAAATGATGCTACTGTATCATCTATGAGTCATCGAAGAATTTAATGAGGAGAAAGTGTTTTGAGGAGATGAAACAAAAATCAAGCTCTGTGAGATACAGTTTCTGCTGATCTTTGTTGTTGAAATGTATCCCAGTAGGTAACAAATAGATGGGTTATTTTAATCCAGTCTACTAATCTGTTTGATTGATGAGCTTAAGCCCTTTACATTCAGGGTTAATATGTATGGGTGGTACGTTGGTCCTGTCATTTTAGGAATGGGTTGTTCATTGGTTTAGTCTCCTGTTGTTATTTTACTGGGATGTTCTTCACATTTGTCTTTGGTTTTAGTGGGCGCTATTCCTCTTCTCTGTCAAGAGAACATCTTTAATATCATTTGGTTTGGAAGAGGCACTGTTCTTTTAACTTATCTTTACTGTGGAAGAATTTTATTTCATTTTCAAAGACAAAGGAAAGCTTTGCTGGGTACGTTATCGTGGGCTGATAATTTTTTGCTTTTAGAATCTGGAATATGTCACCGCATTCTCTTCTTGCCTGTAGAGTTTCCTGTGAGAGGTCTCCTGTGAGTTTAATTGGCATTCCTTTATGTGTCAATTGATTTTTTTCACGTGCACATTTGAGGATCTTTTCCTTATGTTCGATTGAAGAGAGCTTGATGATCACGTGTTGTGGTGAAGATGGCTTTTGATCAAGCCTGTTGGGAGTTCTGTGCCCGTCCTGGATGTTGTTTCCCAAGTCTTTCTGCACCTTCTACAACTCCCATAACTCTTATATTTGGCCTCCTTTTGTTTTTAAAGATTTATTTTTATTATTTTTTAATTGGAAAGGCGGATATACAGAGAGGAGAGACAGAGAGGAAGATCTTCCGTCCGATGATTCACTCCCCAAGTGAGCGCAACTGCCGATGCTATGCCGATCCGAAGCCAGGAGCCTCTTCCGGGTCTCCCACGCAGGTGCAGGGTCCCAAAGCCTTGGGCCGTCCTCGACTGCTTTCCCAGGCCACAGGCAGGGAGCTGGAAGGGAAGCAGGGCTGCCGGGATAGAACCAGCGCCCATATGGGATCCCGGGCGTGCAAGGCGAGGACCTTAACCACTTGCGCCACCGCGCCGGGCCCATTGGACTCTTTTTTTTTTTTTTTAACATTTACTTATTAATTGGAAAGTCAGGTATACAGAGAGGAGGAGAGACAGAGAGGAAGATCTTCCATCTGATGATTCACTCCCCAAGTGAGTGCAATGGCCGATGCTATGCTGATCCGAAGCCAGGATCCAGGAACTTCTTCCAGGTCTTCCACACGGATGCAGGGTCCCAAGGCCTTGGGCCGTCTCTAACTGTTTTCCCAGGCCACAAGCAGGGAGCTGAATGGGAAGTGGAGCTGCTGGGATTAGAACCATATGGGATCCCGGTGCATTCAAGGCGAGGACTTTAGCCGCCAGGCCACGCCGCTGGGCCCATATTTGGCTTTTTAATAGTGTCTTTCAATTCTTGAATACTTTTTTTAGCCTGACCCAGCTCTGCTTCCAGCTTTTTCCTTGTTTCCCCCTGGTGACAGAAAATATTTTCTTTTTTTCTAAGATTTATTTATTTTTATTACAGAGTCAGATATGCAGAGAAGGGAAGAGATAGAGAGGAAGACCTTCCATCCAATGATTCACTCCCCAAGTGAGCGCAACGGCCTGTGCTGTGCCGATCCGAAGCCGGTAACCAGGAACTTCCTCCAGGTCTCCCACACCGGTGCAGGATCCCAAAGCTTTGGGCCATCCTGGACTGCTTTCCCAGGCCAGAAACAGGGAGCTGGATGGGGAGTGGAGCTGCTGGATTAGAACCGGCGCCCATATGGGATCCAGGCGTGTTCAAGGCGAGGACTTTAGCCACTAGGCCATGCCAGGCCCAGAAAATATTTTCTAATTTTGAGATTCTTACTTCTCCCTGGAAACTGGGGGTACGGGGTAGAGCCTCCAGCTGGCTGGGGCAGAGCCAGCATGTGCCCAGCACTGATCGGTTCTGAGTCCAGCCGGAGTCGCCGTGGGAGTGTCCTGGGCCTGGCACAGTAGTCAAGTGGCTAAAGTTCTTGCCTTGCGAGCGCTGAGTTCCCATAAGGGAGGAGCCACCCTGGGTGCCCCAGCCCTGCCCACACAGCAGCAAGGGCTCCCTGCCCAGAGAGGGGGTCCTGAGGAGCAGGAACGGCACCGCGTCCTCCGTGGAAGGTGCCCACAGGCTGTATTATAGGAGGCGTGCCATGGGATCCCTTCTGTTGGGTCCACTCAGCCACTGAAACAGACGTTACATTCACCAGTCACAGCAACAAAGTTTTATTACAAATGAGAGGCAAGGCAACCGAAGGACCAGCCGACCAGGCAGCCGGGACCAGCACCCCTTACCGGAGTGTGGCCCCGAACAGCACACTCACAGGGTTTAATGGGGGCCGTCCACACTAGCCTGCAAGGTGAGGGGAAATACCACACGTCCCCTACCTGTTGGCTGGACAGCCCAGGCCTGCCTCTTCTCTGGTCCAGCAGTTATGGTAACCACCCAGTTAACTGCTTGGAGCCGCCTGCGAGATGACCAGACATGGGCCTTGACTCATGAGAATCAAGTGCTAAAGGTCACACAGGCCGTCTGGCCTGCAAGCTCACAGTTGCTAAGTAGCAACTGAGTCATGTTTACTCCATTTTGTTTTCGATTCTACATTTTTACCAGGAGGGGCTCCCTTCACGTCTCTGCTGTGAGAGGAGGTTAGCAGCTGGTGTTATGGCTATTTTTTATGGAC